TTTTTATACCTGATTACATATGATATAAATGGATTTTTGTACCTAGGTGCATTGGGATATTTCTTTATTTATTTATTTTCTGAGCAGAAGTTTTTGACCAGCTGAAGAGAAGTTAGCAATTAAAAAAATAGCGAGAAATATTTTGAGAAATAGGCAAAAGTTCAGCTGCCATCTCGCTGAATTCTGGTTGTGACCAGGCCACCAGCCAGCTGTTCAACCATGTTTTGCTTGGTTAGATTCAGAAAATCCCCGTTGGCTTTTTACACTGCGTTCTGGGTCATGCACATTAGTTTGTCGCCAACCTTCATGCACATCCGACCTGTCCTGTAAGACTCCGGATTCACAGGAAAAGCTCAGAGGAAAAACCTTCTGCAGCTTGCCCCAGGAGATTGAGAACATCTGTGAACATTTGCAGACATTTTGGAAACTCCCTCCTGAATGCTGTTTGCAGTTTGGCACAGCCTAGCAAGATACTGGCTTAAACTGAGAAATCTGATTACATATCTAATGCAATTTGTAAAATAAGAAAACAACAAAATTYTAATTTTATTTACATGGGATTTAGCTTCACTAAAGCAACCAATCTTTCCAGAAGCACTGTTTTCAATAAAAKATATATTTTGTTGTAAATTGTAATCTACTCACAGGGTCCTCCTGGCCCTCRAGGTGAAGATGGCCCACAAGGAAAAGATGGACCCAAGGTAAAAACCTAAAAACATAATTTTATTATTTTATTATACTTTTTATTTATCATTTTTAAATTATTTTGTGGACCACAGCAGTGCATTTGATTATATCTGTCATGTTGTCTGTGTGTTTGTTTTTTTCCATCACGCTATCAGGGAGAGCCTGGTGAACAGGGCCCAGCTGGGGAGCCTGGAGAGAAGGGGATAGAAGGAGAACCCGGGCCTCAAGGACCAGCTGGAATTCCTGGGAAACAGGGGTTTTCTGTAGGTTTGATTTCTTGGTCCACAAACTTCAAATGGTGGACGATGAAACAAATTAAATAAGACAAATCTGGCAGCTCAAAATTGAAAACCAAACACGATCCACCACCTGTAGTTTGAACAGTATTAATCAAGACGACTTCACTTCAACAAATCCTTTTTTACTGTTGGGTCAGTAAAAAGTGTTGTTTTAGTCTTTAATTTATACATTGCTARTATTATCAAAAGACTCTCATGAAATCTTATTTACAATTAATATTCAACAATATTTTATTGAATGGGTCTCTTTTCAAAGGGACCAGAAGGAAAACTGGGCCCCCCAGGGAATAGAGGACGACACGGAAAGAAGGTGAGAACGTCTTTGTGACCAYATTCTGGTTTTGATGCTAACGTTTTATCCGTTTGTTTATGGCTCCGCCCACTGGGGCCTGAGGCATACTGTTCTGTGGCTGTCGGTGTGGTGTCCGTCCATCATGGATGGTCTTGTGTGCATGATATCTCCTGAATTAAAATACTAAATATTTACTTATAAACAGGCATAAWAACTCCATTAGTGTTGTACTCAGTCTGATTAGATTTGGGCTTCAAAAGGTCAAAGGTCAAGGTCATTTATGATGATTGGTAATATAAAACTGGCATTTTTTTTCTAATTCCTCGACAGTACAAATAAAATACTTGGTTTAAAAAAGAAAGAAAGTTGCCCCTGAAATTCCTTAAAAGCCTTTTGACATTTAAATTTTTTTGTAAGGGTGTCAAGCTAAAAGTAAGAATTGGAGGAAGTCGTCCGACACCCTGGTTTAATAAATAAATAAATAAAATAAAAGCCCCTGATAGCATCTGGAAATGCCTGGAAAAGTTTAGAGGCAAAAACCGCACCGATTTTGCCCTACTGGCGGAACAAAGACTATTTTATATCAGGAGTTCCCGAAATGGGGGCCGGGCCACCAG